AAAATTAAGTGGATTTATGGGGCGCCTGGATGGTTCAGTCGGTTAAGTGTCCAAATTTGGCTCAGGCCATGATCTTACGGTTCGTGGGTTCGAGCCCCGCATCAGGCTCTGTGCTGACAGCCCAGACCCTGGAGCCTGCTTCAGATTCAGTGTCTCCCTCTCTCTTTGCCCCTCCCCCACTCACTCTGTTTCTCTCGGTCTCTCAAAAATAAACAAACATTAAAAAAAACGTTTTTTAAACTAAGTGGATTTTGAGGGGCACCTGGGTGGCTCAGTTGGTTAAGCGACCAACTCTTGGTTTTTGCTCAGGTTACAATCTCATGGGTTTGTTGAGTTTAAGCCCCACACGGGGCTCCGCACTGCTTGGGATTCTCTCCCTCTCCTTCTCTCTCTGCCCCTTCCCTGCTTGTGCTCGTGCTCTCTCTCAAAATGAATACGCTTTAAAAAAATTAAGTGGATGTTGAAATAAAACGGTTGATCGCCACAGAAACTAGTGACAGTATTCTCTGGAATACAAGCTGTGATAATCAAGGCAGGAAACATTAGCATGCCTGAGGTTTTTCTCAAGCTGGTACATTCCTTGACTCAACAGGAGGAAACAATCCACACCCCACCTGCCTATAAAAGGCTGAGGAGCTGCCCACGTTCCAGCTGCCAGCAGGAAAAAAGCAGAAGCTTGCTCACTGAATAAAATGCATGAAAGATTTCCAAATCTTCCAGAGCTTTGGCTTCCACGTTTTAGCACTTACTATTTTCTCTGAGCTTTTTGATGGAAATTAGCCAGTGTGTGAAATTTTTCTTTTGTAAACCTGTGTTTGGTAGTTTTGACTTAAGTTAGAGCAGTGATTCTCACAACCTTGTATTTGAGCCCCTGACCTTTCTTTTGTAGATGTAGAGAGAGAATTCTGTGTTGTGAATGTTTAAAGTCAGTCCTGACTTCACGAATTTATACTTCTGTGGAAGACATAGGAAAATAAACAATAACAATACAGAATTCTCTTGCTCTCCCTCCTTGAGGTGTTGGGAGAGGGTAAGACACAACAAAATGGGAAGGGAAAAAGTTAAATATAAATATTAACAACACTAAGGTTTTAATAGACTAGAAATTTTTTCTGGTCCATATCACACAGAATCATATGAAAAAGTTAAAAGCTAAAGTCACTTCCAGAAGATTAAGCTCTTCCCAGTGCTTCTCCCTCTCAAAAGCATGGTCTCCAGACCTCACCTCTGGAGGTATTTGTTAAAATATAAAGGCTCCTCAGCTCCTCCTGGATAAACTCAGTCAGTCACTGGAAGTGAAAGCTGGAATTCTCATTTTTAAAATATGCCCCACAGGGATACCTAGGTTGCTCAGTCCACTGAATGTCCAACTTCGGCTCAGGTCATGATCTTGCAGTTCGTGAGTTCAAGTCCTGCATCAGGCTCTCTGTCAGAGCAGAGCCGACTTTGGATCCTCTGTCTTCTCTCTCTCTTTCAAAAATAATAAAATTATGCCCCACAAACTGGTAACAATGACTATCTTCAAGGAGAACTGGGTAGCTAAAAATCAAAAATGGAAGTTTCACTTTATATCCTTTATTCTCTATGCCCTATGTCCTTTGTATTTCAAAACTCAAAATACCTTTTTGTGCCTTATTCAAAACCTCCAAACAAAACAAAACAGGGGTGCCTGGGTGGCTTAGTCGGTTAGGCGTCCGGCTTTCGCTTAGGTCATGATCTCGCGGTTTGTGGGTTCGAGCCCTGCATCGGGCTCTGTGCTGGCTGCCAGCTCAGAGCCTGCAGCCTATTTCAGAGTCTGTGTCTCCCTCTCTGACCCTCCCCTGCTCACGCTGTCTCTCTCTCTCTCTCCTAGAAATAAAAAATATTAAAAAAAAAAAAAACACCAGGTGATTCTCAAATGCACTCAAGCTTGAGAACCACTATTTTAGCCCAATTACCAATAGGTACAACCAAAATGGCTGGTAGAAAGCAAAGGTATATACCTGCCAGAAAGGTATATACCTGCTCAAAAAGGCTTTGCATCTCCTAATTACTGACTTTTAAGTGCAAGTTACTTAACCTTTCTGAATTTTACCTTCCTTATCTGCATAATCTACAATCAAGATTTGAAGACGCAACGTGGGTCAACTACACTTCAATTAAAAAGATTATGAGGGGGGGCACCTGGGTGGCTCAGTCGGTTGAGCATCTGACTTTGGCTCAGGTCATGATCTCAGGATTTGGGAGCTCAAGCCCTGCATTGGGCTCACTGCCGTCAACACAGAGCCCACTTTGGATCCTCTATCTCCCTTTCTTTCTGCCCCTTCCCTGCTCACACTCTCTCTTAAAAAAAATAGAAATTTTTAAAAAGTTGGGGCGCCAGGGTGGCTTAGTTGGTTAAGCGTCCAACTTTCACTTAGGTCATGACCTCACGGTTCGTGGGTTCGAGCCCCGCGTCGGGCTCTGTGCTGACTGCCAACTCAGAGCCTGGAGCCAATTTCAGAGTCTGTATCTCCCTCTCTCTCTGACCCTCCCCTGCTCACGCTGTCTCTCTCTCTCTCTCCTAGAAATAAATAAAAAATATTAAAAAAGAAAGAAATTTTTTAAAAGTTAATAAAAAAAGATTATGAGGGGTGCCTGGATGGCTCAGTCAGTTAAGCATCTGGCTTCATCCCAGGTCATGATCTCATGGTTTGTGAGTTCAAGCACTCCTTTGGGCTCATGCTGACAGTGTGGAGCCTGTTTGCGATTCTCTCTCTCCCTCTCTCTCAAAAATAAATAACCTTAAAAATACATACATACAGACATACATACATAAATACATACAAATAAAATGAGCAAAGATTCTGAACAGGCATTTCTCCAAAGAAGATATATAAACGACTAATAAGCGTATGAAAAGATACTCAACATCATCAGTCCCAAGGGAAGAGCAAGTCAAACCAAGAGATACCACTACACACCCACTAGGCTGACTATAGACAAATACACAATATCAAGTGCTGTCCAGGATGTACAGAAATTGGACCGCTCATGTATTGCTGCTGGGAAGGTACAGTGGTGCGTTCCTTGAAATACTGCTGGGCAGGGGCGCCTGGGTGGCTTAGTCGGTTGAGCGTCCGGCTTTCGCTTAGGTCATGATCTCGCGGTTCGTGGGTTCGAGCCCCGCATCGGGCTCTGTGCTGACTGCCAGCTCAGAGCCTGGAGCCTGTTTCAGAGTCTGTATCTCCCCCTCTCTCTGACCCTCCCCTGCTCACGCTGTCTCTCTCTCTCTCTCCTAGAAATAAAATAAAAATATTAAAAAAAAAAAAGAAAAGAAAAGAAAAAAGAAATACTGCTGGGCAGTTCTTCAAAAACAGTTACCATGTGATCCTGCAATTCCACTCCTGGAAATATATCCAAGTAACCAAAAATATGTTTACACAAAAGCTTGTACACAAAATAGCATTATTTATAATAGTCCAGAAGTGGAAACAACCAAATGCCCATCAACAAATAAATCCATAAACCAAAGGTAATAAGTACATCCACACAATGGAACATTATTCAACCATAAAGAGGCAGTACTAGTGGGGCGCCGGGCGGCTCAGTCCTTAGGCAAGTGACTCTAAATTTTTGCTCAGTTCATGATCTCCCAGTAAGTGGGACAGAGCCCCCATAGGGCTCTGCGCTGACAGCACAGAGCCTGCTTAGGATTCTCTCTCTGCCCTTGCCCTGCTCGAGCTCTCACTCGCTCTCTCAAAATAAACTTAAAAAAAAAAAAAAAAAAAGGTACTGGTACAGCTACAACCTGGATAAACCTTTATTTTTTAATGTTTTATTTATTTCTGAGACAGAGAGAGAGAGAGTGTGAGCAGCGGAGGGTCAGAGAGAGACGGAGACACAGAATCCGAAGCAGGCTCCAGGCTCTGAGCTGGCTGTCAGCACAGAGGCCGACGCAGGGGGACGAACGGTGGGATCATGACCTGAGCCGAAGTCGGACGCTTAACCGACTGAGCCACCCTGGCGCCCCTGTATAAACCTTTAAAACATTAAGCAGAATCGATGTATATGAAAATGTCAGGAAAAAACATATCTGTAGAGACAAAGTGTTCAGGAGTGGTTACCTAGGGTTGAGGAGCTTTGGGGGTAAATGGGCAGAGGCTGCCAAGTGGTTCCTGTTTCTTTGGGGGAGGGGGGCAGGTAATTAAAATGTTCTAAAACTTACTGTGGTGATGGATGCACAATCTGTTAATATACTAAAAGCCATTAAATTGTATCCTTTAAATGGGTTAACTTTATAATATGCAATTATGTCTCAAGCTATTTTAAAAAAGAAACATTACGCCTAGCCCAAAACAATGCCTGATACGTTCCAGCTGCGCCCGTTCCTAAATAACAAAGGGCAGGATTTAGAAGGACTCCTAAGCACCCTCCCACTTTTAACCCTGAAGGACCAAACGCCAGCCCCGGCGCTCCTCTGGGCAAGGGAAAGGCCACAAAATCCGCGCAGCTCAGGGCTCACACGATCCTCACAGTTCCGCCACGGTCCCACTCCTCCCCACTGCCTGCCTGGGGACGCGCTTACCCAAGGCACAGGCCATGGCGGCGCCCACCAGGCCTCCGCCCGACACCACCACATCGTACACGGTGTCTGCCTTGGCGCCCGACCACCGCCGGCAGGAAAGCAGCGGACCTCTCCCGGCAACTGCAGGCGCAGCCTTCCACCGGCGCACAGCCAGGCGGGCCGCCATGATGCTGGCCTGCAATGTACCTGGCGCCCCGCTAGGCCCGCCTTTTGCTGCACTTCCGGAGCAGAGCCCTCCAATCACTAGCTGCTTCAGTTGCAGCCTCAGAACCGGATATAGAAAGCGCAAAAAGAGTAGGCCAATCGGAAGACGATCCTTGCCAGCTTGGGCGGGAAGGTTAGAGGCTCCTTGGGAAGGGGGACTGGTTCAGGCATCAGCCTGGGAGCCAATCAGAAGCCTGGTCGCGTAGCTAGAGCAGCCACCGCAGCCAAAGCGTAGCACGCAGCTGTCACCGCCGCCTCTTTTTCTGCCCCGCGGAGAAGATGACCGTCGGGAGGCCTGCGGGAGCCTCCGGCGGCGCTCAGTGGAGCCGGCAGGTGAGAGAGAAAGAGAAGGAGAGGAGTTAGGTCTCCCCGGAAAGGAGTCTCTAAGAGAGGAAACTGTCGTTGCCTTGGAGACAGACGTCAGGGGCGTGTCGCAGACAGGCGTGGGATTAAAATCCGCTGCGTTTAGGGACCCGCAAGCCGACTCCCTAGCGTGTTGCGCCTTATGTTAGACCCTTTATAGACCCACAGCCGTGGCCCTCGATTTTCCCTTATCCTGTCAACTACCCTATTGACCGATAGTGCTATTGTTGTCTCCATTTTGTAGAAAAGAAAACTGAGTCACAGAAGAATCCATACAGAAAGTAGATTGGTGGTTGCTTAGGGCAGGCTGGGAAGGAAGGGTTGAAAAGACTAGGGAAAAGAGGGAGTGACTGCTAAACGGTATGTGCTTTCTTTTGGGGGTGATTATGTTGTGCCCGATTCGCGAGTTTCCAGAGACCTCCAAGGAGCCAACACGATGCAAATACAAAAAGGGTCTTTATTACAAGCTCGAGCAGGGGCTCACCCACCTACTGGTGTAGTGGCAGCAAGGTGAAGCGAAGAACAATAGCGAACAGGGTTTTTAAGGAGTAAGGGATGGGGCTGTTACAGTACGTATAGCATCATCACATAAGCACCAATTACAATTGTACGGCACCCATGGTAACAGTTTTGACCATTAAGTATCTGTGAGGTGTTCATTACTTTTGGTGGGGCCGAATCATAACTTTTGAGAATCCTTTGAAAATGACCAATTATGAGGTGAGTTCAAAGGGCCCACGTGGGGTTCAGGCAAGCGGTGAGAAATTGGCTAGTTTGTATAAAATAACTGCAGGTCCCAGCCTTGACTCAGACCATAGGAATGTTTTTTTTTTATTAGCTGATCTGAGGGCGGTCCGAGGATGGCTTTAGCCTTGAACAATCTGACGCTTTTCCTGGAGCTGGGACTGGGGCTACGTGCAGCCCGAGGTTGCTCTTAATGGAGGACTTAATTTCAGGCTCTTCAATTAAAATGTTCTAAAATTGATTGTGGTGATAGTTGCGCAACTCTGACTATACTAAAACGCATTGAATTGTACTCTTTCAATAAGTGAAGTGTCTGAATTATATCTCAATAAAGTCGTTTTAAAATTTTTTTCCTAACATCACATGCTCCTCGGTAGCAGAGCAAGGGCTGGAGCACATACACACCTTTGACTCAGAGTCCAGTGTTCTTTTCACTAGTAGAGCTGGACCTTAGAGAACCCAGTAAAAGCATCACCAATATCACCTGGAGGCCTGCAGCGGCCTACCCCTAACTAGTTCCTAGATGCAGCTAGTCATCTGATACAGTGCAATCCTGGCTCCACACCAGCCTCTCTAAGGATATCTCATACCACTGTCCTCCAGCCACACTGGCCCTGTTTCTACCTCTCCAAGAGCCGAGTTTGTTTCTGCCTCAGGTCCCTGCTTCAAGGCCTTTGCATTTGCTGTTCCTTGAACTCAGAACCCTCTTACCCCAGATCTTAGCAAGGCTGGCTCCGTGTCATCAGTCAGTTATCAGTCCCAAACTCCTCCACAGGGAGAAAGTAAAAATCAGCCCAGGACTGAGAAAGTACGATTCAGACTGTTATATACACAGATGAGGCCAGCAGCCAGATTAGCAGAAAACCATTTATCCAAGGGCCACACTGTGTCTGCAAAGAGACCAACACCCCCTTCTAAATGTTGATGCTTACCTACCAATTACTTACCCAGCCCCACCTTGTTCTAGTTAGCGTTTGAATAAAAATTGCCATATCAACCACTTACCAAACTCTGCCCTCTTCATGACAGCATCCAGAATGGCTCCCGAGGGATCCACTCTCTTCCTCAGAATCATTCAAGACAAGGGGCTCCTGGGTGGCTTAGTCGGTTAAGCGTCCGACTTTTGCTTAGGTCATGATCTCGCAGTTCGTGGGTTCGAGCCCCGCATCGGGCTCTGTGCTGACTGCCAGCTCAGAACCTGGAGCCTGTTTCAGAGTCTGTGACTCCCTCTCTCTCTGACCCTCCCCTGCTCACGCTGTCTCTCTCTCTCCCTCTCTCTCTCTCTCTCAGAAATAAATAAAACATTAAAAAAAAATCATTCAAGACAAGCCAACCCTAGAAATAGCCCATCCCCCACCCCCTTACTGAAAGTCCCCACTCTTACCCTCCCCCAAAACACAAGTTTCCAGTAATTTTTCATAGTGTACTCCAATAAATTAATAAACCTAACTCTGACTATAGACACATTCCTAGTGGTATTTATGATGGGATTTTAGCAACAGTAAAGCTTCCCAAAGCCACTTCATCACTGTGTAATCTCACAATTTATGGCTTTCATTCGATTTGTTATATTGTCTGTCTCCCTCTCACTAGAATGTAAGCTTCATGAAGAGGGATCTTGCTTGACTCGTTCTCAGCCTAATGCTCAGTGCACATAAGACACCCAATAACTAGTGTCTAAATGAATGGAGTATTTAAACCCATTTGGGTTTCCCCTTTCTAGGACATCGTTCTTTCAGCTAGACCACATTGTCCTATTAATTACTCATTCCTAGTAACAGGGGAGATATTAGGTGGAATATGAGGAAAGCAAAGGTGTAGACAGGAGAAGCAGGAAAAAGAAGACTGGCAAAAAGTAGGTAAAACCCAAAGGGGGCAAGGCCCAGAGTGTAGCCAAGGTCATGGGTAGGATCCCTGGAGTGCAGGGGGCAGAATGCATGACACAGAGTAGGTACTCTGTAAATGCTCACCGCACATGAAGTAGGGAACCAACGTTAGGTGTCTGCTTCCCTTTCCTCCCCTTCAACCAAGCATATACCCCATGTACCAATTTGTGAAATGTCTTAAAGCAAGAAATACATCTGATTCTTCTTCGTTCCTTCCCAGTCCCTAATATACAGACTTATTCAAAGTGCAATTAAGTTATTTTTGAGAAAATTTGAAATTAGAGGTGACCCACAGTCCATTCTATTTCGTTTTAGATACTTTCCTCCAAATCCTCCTCAGACACGGAGACGGGAGAGGAGCAGTCTGGGAATGGGCTGGTTTCACCCAGGGCTGGCACACTTGATGACTTCCTCAGCCCAGAGGAGGAGACAGTTTCTAATTCTTCGGACTCAACTGGGAGCTTTTACGAGGCCCTGAAGGTACTAAAGCAGAAAGGCAGGTGGTGCCTGTTGGAATCCCTTTATCAGAATGACCCAGACAGTGGTGAGAAGCTCTCTGAAGATGATGAGGACCTGGAGAGTTTCTTCCAGGACAAAGGCAGGGGGAAGCTGGAGGCCCAGTACCCCTCGTCTCCAAGGTAAGGCCCCACAGTTCAACAGCTGCTTCATGCCCAGCTCTGGCCAAGTCACGTCATGACTCTGGGTCTCATCCTCTTCCTCAGGAAAGCAAAGACCACTTGTGCAAGCTGTCCCTTACTGAGGCTCCAGGTCAGAAATCAGCCTTCAGAGCCAAACACATTCTGATTCCTACCCAGCAGTCCTAAGTCCCTTCGGATAGCCCTTAGTCATTGGAAGCACTGGAATTGATTAAAGGGATGCCTTTCTCACTGCCTCTCTGAGAATGGCAACAAGCTACATTTACCTTGGCCAAGCCCTGTTCTATGGGCATGCACCGAATCTCAGTTTCTCCTCCCACTAACCCTTATGTAAGGAGCCATTATTTTTTGCCATTCTCCGGATGAGGACTTTGAGGTTCCAAACCCTGCTGAAGATCACACAGCTGGTAATTGTTTGAAGCAAGATTTGAACCTGGGTCTGACTCTGGGTCTGACCCTAAAGCCTTGCTCTGCACCACTGCACTCTTCTCTCTCCCATCTGAAGATAGTGGAATACAGGGCACCTGGCTGGCTCAGCAGGAGGAACGTGAGACTCTTGATCTTAGGATTGTGAGTTCAAGCCCCACACTGGGTGTAGAGATTACTTAAAAATAAAATCTTTAAGGGGCCCCGGGTGGCTCAGTTGGTTAAACATCCAGCTCTTGATTTCAGCACAGGTCATGATCCCACAATTCGTGAGATTGAACCCCGAGTCAGGCTCTGCGCTGACAGTGTGGAGCCTGCTTGGGATTCTCTCCCTCTTTCTCTTTCTGCCTCTCCTCTATTCACACTGTCTTCTCTCTCTCTCTCTCTCTCTCACAATAAATACAATAAATAAACATTTTTTAAGCATTAAAAAATTAAATCTTTAAAAGAAAATATTAGAATGCAAAGTGGCAATTCTTGAATCACTTCTGACCTAGGGCTGCTAGATGACCTGAGGGAAGGAGCAAGGCCAAGGCAGGGCCCAGACGCCTGCGGGGCTGTGATGTTAGACTGAGAATCTAGCCGCAGTCTTCTGGGAGGGAGGTCTGGGGAGGAGCAGGAGGAGGAAAGGGCCTCCAGCCTGCCCTGTCCTCCACACCCCTGCTTTCTCCCCCCAGGTGTGGCTCCACAAGGCGCTGCAGCTCCCTGAGCAGCCTTCCCTCCGACATTCCCAAGGTTCAGCCCCAGCCACCCTCGCGCTCCGGGCCTCCCTCACAGCACAGAAGCGTCAGCTCCTGGGCATCAACCATCACCGTCCCTCGGCCATTCCGCATGACGCTGCGTGAGGCCCAGAAGAAGGCGCAGTGGCTGGCCTCACCTGCTTCCTTGGAGCAGGAGAGGAAGCAGGCCCAGAGGCAGGCTCAGGAGGAGGCCGAGTGCCACCGGCAGTTCCGGGCACAGCCCGTGCCAGCGCACGTCTACCTGCCCCTCTACCAGGAGATCGTGGAGCGCGGTGAGGCCCGCAGGCAGGCAGGGATCCAGAAGAGGAAGGAACTGCTCCTCTCTTCCCTGAAGCCCTTCAGCTTCCTCGTGAAGGAGGAACAGAGAAAAGAGGCTGCCACACAGAGGGAGCTGGCGGCCACAGCTGAGGCCCAGGTCCCCAGGCAGAAGGCCACCAGAAGGATCCCCAAGTCCATTCTGGAGCCAGCCCTCGGGGACAAACTCCAGGGTAAAGACATCCTTCCCACCTTGCTGCCTGCTGCCTGGGGGTACTAAGAGGTGCTATAGAGACACAGGTTCGGGAGTCAGCCTGGCTTAGAGATAAGTTCGTTGTTTGGGAGGACAGGCCTCAAGGCCATGCTCCGTGCAGGCCATAGGGTAGGGTTGGGTCGGTCTGGATCGTGGGGAAGCCCTGTAAGGAGTGGAGAGTGGGAGGCCAGGCCGGGCCCTCCAGGTTTGCCCTGTTGACCTCTCTCAGCGAGTGGGTGTGAAGGCGCCTGCAGCAGCCCACGTACAAGAACAGAGAACCATTGAGACCTCCAGGGACAGGTTTGGCCGGTGCTACCGCCAGCTGCCCCTGAGGGAAGCTCCTACCCACCCCCCATCCTGGTGACCTGCACATTTCAAGAAATGTGGTTCCGTGAAAGGACTCAGGCTTTACTCATTTAGTAATTTGTCAAGCCCCGGCCACTCCTCCATGTTAAATACACAGAGTTGGTGGACAAAGGAGGAAGACAGATGACAGACAAAAAACTACAAATGTGATGAGTCATTTGCAAGGATTAGTGGGGGGAGCCTCGGGGTCATACAGAGCACGTAACAGAGGGACCTAACTTAGGATGAGGTGAGGTGGCGGGGACAGATGGGGAAGGTCCCCAGGGAAAGTGAGCACTGAGGCTGACCCTGAAGGATGAGCAGCAGTTAATTCATGGGAAGACGGAGGAAGAGTGTACCAGAGCAAGCAGCGCGGAGGTAAGAGGGGGCTTAACACATTCAAGGGACGTGAGGATGCAGGGCAGTGGGGTGGGAGAGGCAGGCATGGGCCAGACCCGGGGGCGTGGAGGCCATGGGAGGAAATCTGGACTTCATCCCAAGGGCCCTGGGGAGCCAACTGAAGGGTTGAAGTAGGGTGGCTTAGGATCAGCTCTGCAGCTCAGAAAGATCACTCTGATGCTGCGGAGATGATTGAGGTGGAGGGACAGGACTGGAGGGACGTTGCGCTATAGGACACTCTCAACAGTTCAGCAGAGAAACAAATTAGCAGCAGGGATGGTAAGGAGAGGCCAGACTGGAATGTGGTTAAAGAGGAGGAGACTGCAGAACAGGGGATGAGAGATGGCGGGCAAGAATGATTTGGGCAATAACCTGGGCCTCTGGGTGGATGGTGGGGCCTTACCCTGAGCCAAGGAGACCGGCTCCCCCCTCCAGCTCTGCCCCTGGAGGAGGAACTGCAGAAAGCACTCAGTAAGTGTGAATGGTGGCTGTCTCTGTGGCCTGCTGGCACATGGCATTGGTGTCCTGGTCAACATTTAGAAAAGAAGCAAGCTGATCTGTAGTATTTGCCACTTTCCGTGGTGAAATTATACCTCTCCTGGCCAAGGTAGAGCTTCCCATGTGATGTCAACTGGTTCACAAAATCCTGCAGAGCTGTTGATCGGATCCAGTACAGTACTGCGCTAGTGCTTTACAGGGAACCTTCTCCAAACCTCTAGGTATGAGGCCGGGTCCCCTCTCACCCATCACCACACTGACCTTTCCTCCACAGAAGCGGAGCTCTTCAGGAAAATTCGCATCCAGATGCGAGCCCTAGACATGCTCCAGATGGCCTCCTCCCCTACCCTCTCCTCCAGCAGCCGGGCTGACCCCCGGCCTCGAACAGCTACCCGAACCCAGAAGGAAAAGCTTGGGTTTCTGCAGACCGACTTTGGATTCCAGCCTCGTGTGAATCCTGCCGTGCCTGACTACGAGGGCCTTTATAAGGCCTTCCAGAGAAGAGCTGCCAAGAGAAGGGACACCAGAGAGGTGCCTCGCAACAAGCCCTTCTTGCTGAGAACCGGCAGCCTGCGTCGCGCTCAGCATCCCTGTGATGCCGCCATCTCTGGAGGGAGGAGGGTGAGAGCCTGGGCAGTTGCGGGTGGGTCCCGGACTGAGACCCAAAATACAGGAATGGGCCAGGTGTCAACATAAGGCACTTCTCATGACATTTTTCTATCTTTTTAAAAACACTGGCTCAGTTGTTGGATTCATATCCAAGTCTTGGCCTGGTAATAAACTTGGGAACCCATTACTCTTTCCTTAATCCCAGGGGGAAAAAAAAGATTCCTGGTCTGACTAGTCCTTCACTGAAACTGAATCCTAGTTACATAATAGAAACTAATCACCCATTGCTGTCCCACCAATATCAGCCTTCATTTTTTTCTAGGACTCTCCCCAGGCACCAGCCACCCCCCTGCCAAGGAGTCGTTCTCTGAGTGGCCTTGCTTCCCTCTCTGCCAACACCCTCCCTGTGCACATCACAGACGCCACCAGGAGGAGGGAGTCTGCCGTCAGGTGAGTGGTCAGGCTCGAGATCTTGGCCCAGGATCAAGATCAGTGGTTAGTGCTTGGATCCTGGCCCAGATGCTAGAAACCGTCCTGCTGCTGGGCCTCCTCTTCTGTTGCCAGAGATTTCTCTGATCAGGACAGGAATACATGTAACCCTCCACAGGCAGTGATGGAGAGCATCTGGCCATCGTTTATGGGGGACTTACTCTGTGCCAGTCACAATGTTAAGGCTGGGGTACCTTATGGAACCCATAGTTTAACATCTAGTATGAAATATAGAAAATCAAAGAACTGCTTTGTGAGTAGTGGAATGAAAGGTAAATACAGGGAGCCTGGGAGGTTCTGGGCAGAGTCTCTTTAATAGATGTCTGAAGAATGAGGAATTAGCCAAAGGCTGGAAAGAAGGAAGGTTCCAGAGAGAACAAAATGAGTGAAGACCCACAGATGAATGAAGAAGCCATTAGGAATAGGAATTCAGAGAAACCTGTTGGCAAGTGGCTGACCCTGTCACAAAGAGAAGGCATCCACTGCACATTTTTGAGATTCTCTGAGATTCATCTTGGGGAACTTGCAGAAGTCAGTTGGGAAGCAGGAGCCTCTTTACTTTTTAAATTTTTAACTGCCCTCTGTCGTGGTATTGTTCTCATCAAGCCAGCGCCCCAGCAAGTTCTTCCACTAGACCTCTGAGCTGAGGTCATCAGGAAAGGTGGCGGTGTGACAAGCAGTTTAGCCCTGGGAGAGGGTGAGCATCTTAGTGCTTTCCTGTGGGGCTAACCTACTTGGCTCTGTAGGCCTCATGATAGGGATTTTAGAAATATATTTACTCCCTTCTTCCTCAAATGTAATAGTTACAGCTACTAAATCAAGGCTAAACGCATCAGTGTCCTGAGGTCCCAATAAGGTAGGCCTTATGGGCCAGACCTGGCCCGCCAAGGGGATATCCATGTCTGCTTCCCAGCGATGGGGAGTTTGATATAATAGCAGACTAAAGTTTCATGCCTTCCTTCCTAATCTGTCCTTTTGAATGGAAATATCCAAATGCAAGAGTCTTGGGGTTTTTTGGTTTGTTTGTTTATTTTTGAGAGAAAGCATGAGTTAGGGAGGGGCAGAAAGAAAGGGAAACAGAGGATTCAAAGCAGGCTGTGTACTAACAGCAGAGAGCCTGATGCCGGGCTCGAACATGAGACTGAGCCACCCAGGCACCCAACTGTTCTCTCTCCATAGTACCTTGTCAAATGATACTTACACACACTACGTGATATAAATTAACCCCAAACTGTGCATGGAAAGAGGCCTATTTCCAGTTCTCCAAACCAGGCACCTTCTAGCCCACTGTTTACAGTGTAGTGGTCAGGGGCAAAGGGTTAGGAGTCAGACATACTAGTTCTGATCTTAGCTTTTCCACGGACATGCTGGGTAGCTTTGAGTAAGTGGCTTACCCTCTCTGAGGCTGTCTCCTCACCTATAAAAAAGGGGCTTACAGTTCTTACCTCATGGGGCAGTTATGGAGATTACAAAAGATAATTGATATAAAGCACTTGATTCCTTTCTGCTCTTGGTTCAAGGTAGAGTAGTTCAGCAAATGGTAACTATTAGTATTGTTTCCAGACAAGCCAGAAGCCTGAGTGTAAGGATATTTTAACCCTTATGTTTTTCAGTTCAATTATTGAACTTCTGGGGCAGAAAATCACTTGTGTCCATAGAGCTGGTAAGGCTTCATTTGCCAGTCTCAGAATACTATTCCTTCTGAAGTGCCAGTGTGGTAAATTACCTCATTCAAAGAAAACACCATTTTACTTTCCAGAGAGGTTACTAACAGTGCTTTTAAATATACTCATTGGTCATCTGTGTGTTTTTTGCCTCCTTTCTTTAGAAGTTCACTTGAAAAAAAGGACAAAGCAGATGAGAGTACTCAGTGGTTGGAGATGCACAAAAAGAAGTGTCAAGCAATGTCTAAATCTGTGACCTTGCGTGCAAAAGCCATGGATCCCCATAAAAGCCTGGAGGAAGTGTTCAAAGCAAAGCTGAAAGAGAATCGGTCAGTGTCTTCCACGTGTCAAAGGGTATCTGTCTTGGGATCCAACAGATAATTGCCCTTGAAAGTAGGCTCCTATAATCGCACACAGTCAAGGATTTACTTTTGCTAGGCAGTTAGGACTTACAATGTCTTTGGGAATTACTCTGCTTAATTGGAGTGAAGGGTATTCCAGGTTGGAAGAAGACAGAATTCATTCTAAAAATCTTGTTAATTCCAGGAACAATGATCGTAAAAGAGCAAAAGAGTATAAGAAAGAATTGGAAGAAATGAAGAAGAGAATACAAACCAGGCCCTATCTCTTCGAACAAGTTACCAAGGTAAAACTAAGCCATCATTCGTTCTCTCTCAGTCTTGGATGAAGAGCTTTTAGAAATGATGGAACGGAGGGCAATCTGGGTGGCTCAGTCAGTTAAGCCTCTGACTTTGGCTCCGTTCATGATCTTACAGTTTGTGAGTTTGAGCCCCGCATCAGGCTGGGTACTTGACAGCTCAGAGCCTGGAGCTTGCTTTGGATTCTGTGTCTCCATCTCTCTCTGCCCCTCCCTACTTACTGTCTCTCTCTCCCTCTCTCTTTCAAAAATAAACAAACATTAAAAAAAGAAATGATGGAACAGTTTACTATCTGGGTATTAAACATTTCCTTGAAGATCAGAGAGATTCAAAATTGGGCCTGTTACCAATTCCCGCCCAAATACAAAGTAAAATGGTGAATGTTGCTTGGACTGATTTCACCCAAGACTGGATTCCAGAAGCATCTATGAAGTGTTTCATTTCTGGGAGTGTTTGCTACAGACTAGCTTTCAGTTTGAATGAGAGTGAGGGCTAGATCCCACATACGCATTGACAGTCTGTCTGTGTTACTGAGAATATCTTTAACTTACTAACATCATCTCTCCCCCTGTGGTGCTGATGCCCAGGGCATCCCCAGCCTCTAGAGCTGTGGCACATGTATAGGTCACCAGAGGTTGGGATGCTCACAAGCACCCCAGAAAGCCTTTTTCAGATTAAGTGGCTTTCAGGATAGAAGAATCATTTTAAGAGGTTCTCTAGACTTTTAGGGAAGTTGGACCCAGTTGGGATCTCCTCTCCTTAAGGAAGCTCTGGAGCTATCTGAACAGCCTTAGAAAGGCCACCGTCCCTGGAAGTTTTGGGCTGTATGAAGCTCTGTTGATCCCTCTTCTCTCTAGTTTCAGACAAAAGTTGGGGTTTCCTAGTGACCTGGTTCCAATTGCTGGACATTATCTCCATCTTAAATTTTTTTATGCCTTTTTTATTTTATTTTGAAAGACAGAGAGTGAGCAGGGGAGGGGCAGAGAGAAGGAGACAGAATCTGAAGCAGGCCCCAGGTTCTGAGATGTCTGCACAGAGCCCAACACGGGGCTCGAACCCACAGACTGTGAGATCATGACCTGAGCCAAAGTCGTACACTTAACCCACTGAACCACCCAGGCGCCCCACATTATCTCCATCTTACAGCCAGTGTGTTATCTAGGCATTTCCTGGGTCCACCCCTCCCCACCCCCATACATACCACACACACACTTGCACACATGCTGGACTGTCCGGACTGGATTCACTTAGCAACTTGTATTGTTCAAAATCTCTCATAATGACCCTTCCTCTTTATGTTAATTCTTTCCAGCAAAGCTCACTCTCAGCTCTCAACAGATCTTTCACCACTCTGGGAAAAATACAAAGTGCTCTATATGATTTTGCTACTAAACACTTAAATTTAAAAAAAAAAAAAATAACCTTTTTCTGGTCCACATGCAGACCATCTATCCTGTTAACAGTATTACTAGTGCAGCTTATTTTCTATTATATTTTAGTGCTCCTGACAATGGTTTGGTTGCTTTTATTAATTTTTTTTAAGGTTTATTTACTTTGAGAGGGCGTGGGGGAGGGGCGGGGGAGGGAAGAGAATTCCAAGCTGGCTCCCTACTGCTGGCAGAGAGCCCTACACAGCGCTTGATCTCACAAATTGTGAGATCATGACTAGAGCTAAAATCAAGAGTCAGACGCTTAACTGACTGAGCCACCTAGGTGCTCCTGGTTGCTTTTAAATCTTAAAACATGTTTAGTCCATATTTTTTCATCTGGGTCTTACTTGGTGGTCCAAAAACCTAAAATCCTTGCTTCTCAAAGGTGTGGCTCCCATATCAACAGTTGGCATCTCCTGGGAATGTTAGATACAGTTTCGAACCTTTTGAGACCTACCAAATGAGAATCTACATTATAACAAGATCTTCAGGTAGTTCCAATGCACTTTAAGGCTTGGAAACAAGGTTCTAAGTAATTTTCACATAAATGTGTGCCCAGCACTAATGGGGATTGGGTTAGGTGGCAATTTTAGGCATTAAAATTGCACAGATTAAGCAAGTGATTTAGAATTACCTGGTAATTCACAAGACAGCTACAGCAAACTTATTTCCACTCCATAGGACCTTGCCAGGAAAGAAGCAGAACAACGGTATCGAGACACCCTGAAGCAGGCTGGGCTGGATGAAGACTTTGTGAGAAACAAGGGTCAGGGCACCGGGGCTGTACAGTGGAAGGAGCAGTCAGAAGTCTCTGACTGTCCCAGGTAATAATCTCACCCGCTCTTGTCACCCTGCAGCTCTCAAATTGCCATCCCTAATAATGCCACTGGGAGGGACCTTTAGAACAGCCACACACATTTTGAGATCACAACCCTGTATTTATAGAATACTAACCCAGAGATCTCCAGATAATACATTTAAATTGGGAGAATAAGTGCAGTTGTTATTGTTAATAAAACATAACCATTGTATATTACGTTTAGATTCCTTCAATTTGAAACAGATCATTTTTCCGATTGTAGTTCTAGGGCCATCAGTCAAGAATATTTCCACTTCGCTCTTACGGAACAAACATGTGTATCTTTACTTACTATAAAATGATAAAACTGCTTTTCTAACACTTTTTATTTTGTTTGGATAATTTAAGGTAAAGACCTTTAAAGACGAATAATAAAAGCAATAATATCCTGAATAAGCAAAGCCTTTCTTTTCCCCTCAGCATGATCACCACAGCTTGTTAAAATCTACCAGTCTTTAAAACAGTAACTCATTAGCACCACCCCACCACTGGAATCATATAAAAGGAGAAAAGCACAGTTATAGCCATTATTCTCACCTTTGTTTCTTAAATCCTAATGGCCCCTCCCCTAATTCCTATCACAGTTTTCCCCCTAGAAACTTCCCTTTACACCCCATATAAAATAATGAAAATGTTGAAACCATCCTTATGCCTTACATAATGTTTTAATTAAAAACATTTTATTTCATAATGCTTTAATTTATTCTGTAGCACCCAGGAAACTACAAAACTCGGCACCAGAAATCCACAGCAGGATTTAGAAGAATCTCTACAACAGCCTCCAAGCCCCAAAAAAGAATTGGAGGAGCTGCCTTATGAATGGCTAGATAATTTCAGATCACTTGCTTAATCAGTAACACTTAAAATTACTGCTTTCCAATATTAAGTATCTAACGTGGGGTTGAGTCAAGGCAGGCAAAACTTGGCTTTTGAGTCAATGGCTAGTCTTGGAGAAAGATAAGAAAAGTAGCAGGAAGAGAAGTAGCAGGTAACAAACAGGGAAGGGTTTAAGCAAATTAAAGTGAAAAGCCTCAGGGTGGAGGATTCAGAGCCGAGTTAAGCATTCTTGCTTCTTGTGCTTCCTACTTAAATAAGGAGCACACACCCAAATGCCTACAGGGGCCAGTTAGGAAACAAATGGGTCACATAGGCTGGGTATAAGATAGACTATTAATGAAGACTGGAGTCAGCTAGAACCCAGGCCCAGAACTGCCAGATCAGCAACTGAGTTTTCAACAGAAGCCATAATTTGCATGTTGGCAACTAATTAAAACATTACTCAGAAATCCTGTGTGGGAAAAACAACACACGTGCAGGATGACAAGTTTGCAACTTCTGGTACACAGATTCTCAGCCTCAGTACTACTGAGATTCAGGGCCAGATGAGTCTGTGCTGGGATTTGTGAGGAGCTGTCCTGTACATTGTAGGACGTTTAGCAGCATCCCAGGCTTCTACTCACTGGATGGAAGCCAATAACGCCTTCTCCCCAGTTATGACAAACAAAAATGTCTCTAGATACTGCCATGTGTGGGGCAGTGAGCAGGCAAAAGTGTTCCCAATTAAGAACCACCGGCTCAGGGCGCCTGGGTAGCTTAGTCGGTTAAGCGTCCGACTTTCGCTTAGGTCATGATCTCACGGTTTGTGGGTTCGAGCCCCGAGTCGGGCTCTGTGCTGACTGCCAGCTCAGAGCCTGGAGCCTGTTTCAGTCTGTGACTCCCTCTCTCTCTGACACTCCCCTGTTTACGCTGTCTCTCTCTCTCTCCTAGAAATAAATAAAACATTAAAAAAAAAATTAAAAAAAAAAAAAAAACACCGGCTCTAGTACAAAAGTAAAGGCTATTAGAAATAAAAAGTGGCATTTTAAGAATACAAGAAATTGACAGGAACTCAATCTACATAACAAAGGGTGATTATGCATGTCATTAACTTTAAGAACTATAATTACTGAATTTAAAACGGTTAATTCTTTCCTGTTATCTGCTTAAAATGTGCCACTGTGTGCATGGTATGCGTGTGTAAGCCTAAGGTTCATTTTCAATAAATGTGAAAATTCTCTGACTGCCATGATTTTCTACTAGTAAGTGATCTTTGGAATACTTTTCTTCTCACCAGTGATAATTATTCTCTATCAGTAGCTGTAGATACCAAGAGGGCCTACTCTTAATAGAAGCCCATTTCTCATGTTTTGTTTTGTTTTTTAACTTTCTGGAAAAATTCAAAAGTATATTATTATTGCCATTTTTTCCAGACTCAGCCATGGTCCTTTCTGGTGAAGACAGATAACTACTATCTAGTTTTGCTAGTTAGAGATGAAGATGCCTATGCTATGTTGCCCAAGACTCCTGGGCTCAGTTTTACCTATATGGAATCCAAAGGGTAAATCAGTGCCCGATCTTAAAAGGAAAGACTGAACTATTTTCTTAATCTCCTCTCTGAGAAAACAAATTCTGTCCAAAACAAGGAGCCAAAGAACTTACTGGGCTGTCTTGTTTATTTAAAGGGAAAACAACTGAAGCTCTGAATCATGTGATATTTAACTTAAAAAAAAAAAAAAAAAAACCCAAAATCCAAAAAAACCTTTTAACATGCAACTGTATATTCCATAATCAAAGAAAGCAAGTGACCAAGTAGATGTGGATTGATAGTACCTCAGCCTGGGCCAAGTAGGAATTCAAGTAATTTATTTTTTTTGCAGCCCAGGGGCAGAGAGTCTCTTACTCAGGTTGCTAAAGGGAGGATGCCACAAAAGAATTGACATCACTCCCTTCTCCAAAGTAACAAGGCATCTTGAAAGCTCAACTTCTTGGTGAAGTTTTATGGTTGGTGGCAGGACTTAGTTTATCCATGTGAAAAGACAGCTGAGTCTGGGATGAAAATTCTTCAAAGGAAAACCCCTTCTCAACAGTCATTCTGAAGAAATTTCAGCCAACACATAATCAAATTCACTTTTGGGAGAAGTCCATCCCAAAATTTTGTAGTGGGAAGAGAGGTAGGTGCAGTTACCCAGCCCACATTCACTGCTTTCTTCCTTTCTGGATGAGATACAGTTTGAAGAGAAGCTCTCCTACGTTCATCTTCTATGTCAGGAAAGATGAACAGAGGCCAAAGCGAGGTCCTGTCCTTCACAGATTCATTTTGGTTCTCGCAGATCGTGAGCCATAAGCATCCTGTTCCCACTGTGTGCACTCTGGAATCAGGGCTGCTCTTGCAGGAGTCGGCACCCACACTCATGTCCGTCTCTCAGTTAAATCTCCTGGGTTTAGTAACTGTAAAAGATTAAAACCAAATCTGGAATAGGCTACTACCAAATAATAGGAAAAATAATTCATACTATGGAAAAGGTTTGAGTGGGAGTAGGGAAGGCACCACAGGGCTAAGTCAAGGATATCTAGTGCCAAAGCAAGAGATATGCACTGACTGATAGATCTCTTTCATATCCTGGCCCTGGGACAGCTTTTTGGCCTCTTCATGATGCTGGAATTTTCACTATGGCAATAAAGTATCCTGGGTCCCTAGGCCAAACTATTGTTTGTGTAGTCATGTGAAGGGCACATGCAAAACTTACAGATACATCAGAAATGGTGGAACCAAAAGTCTCATGTCAGGCAGCGTTAGTCCAAGTACAGGCTGAAAACTCAAGTAAGATGAATGGGAAGCTACTGCCAGTGAGTTCTATATGAAAGCTGGAGCCAACTCATAAGGAATCCAGGGATTTCCAGGGCCTAAAAGAATGCCTTTCCTGTGATGAAGGGAGAAAGCCTGAGACTCCAAGAGGGTAGCAGCCAAAACGTACTTTCTACTCTACACTCAAGGCTTTCTGTTGAAATAGATCTGTACAATAACTGAAGAAACTGGTTCCGTTTTGTTATGAAAATGAGATGGGAGTAACACAGTGAAACTCCGAATAAAACCTGGGCTTAGAAGAATATAACCAGATTCTTGAGCTGGAGATAGATTTACTTGGTGATCTCAATTGGGATAAAGGTAATTTTTACAGTACAATTTAATAATATGGAATTTAAAGAAATTTAAACAAAATTTAAAGAAAAATTTAAACTGAAAGAAACCACAAATTTCATTTGATGCTGTGTGGTTACGGTGTAAGAATGGTGTCTTCTTAATCTAGGTCAAGATCCAGATGTTGGCACTCAAATTAGCAATGGCACTTGATGAGAAATCTTAAAGAGTTTGTAATTTGTTTTTTCTTTTTTGGAAGACATCTTGATATACTGAAAGCTGGCTGACAATCATTTGTACTGGTTCCTGAGTTTGAGAATGTGAGCGCAACGTAGCTACAGAACCCTACTTGGGATGCCTTCTAGTCAGCAGAGGTCTAAAAGCCCTGGGGTCCCTGTTGGGCCTGCACGAGGAGTCCTCTGATTTGCAGACGACTGGGTAACACTGAGATTAAATAAAAACTGTCACTGGAATGAGATGTAGTTTTGATATATTGACCATAATTTCTTTTTTTAAGAAGAGTTTTTAACATTATGAGTCAATTATCTACTTATTTTTAAGTAATCTCCATGCCCAACATGGGACTTGAACTCACAACTCCAAGATGAAGAGTGACATGCTCTACCAACTGAGTCAGCCAGGTGCCCCTCACATGATAATTTCTGATACTTGCTTTGGTTATTCTCTGATATTCTTGTCAAATTTTTATTTTTAGAGCCATAGGAGTTCAAGTTGAAGTGCACGAGTAAGTAGATTCTTACAGGTCTGATCTGCAATGTGATTATCTCCTAAAATTTGAAACAGGCACTGCTGTTTTTTAAGGATTGCAAATAGCCTTTTATCTGAGAATCTCTAAGGACTCAACATTCCTCACTCACTGGAGGAAGGTCAGTTAATACCAGAAGCTTGGATGAGGAAGAGGACTAAACCTGGGGGCTTCAGGGTCTTGTATCTTTTAAAAATGAAGGTATCAGGTGATGTGATAAGCCTGCCTTGATAAGGAAAAGGAGGGGACAAACAGTGGAAATGCCTGTGGAAAGAGGAAAAATAACAGAGGTAACAGTGAAGGAAACACAAAAGAAGAGAGGCTCAGACTGAGGATGTGTTTGGAAATACATGAGGACCCATGAGGGAGAAGTGATAGTATAGGATTATCAGCTTCTCTAAGGGCAGCCTTTCCCTTTTGTGTTCGTATTTTCCTATGAACAGTCTGGGATTTCCACCATGAAACTAGGTACTTAGGGCCTACAGACCCTTAGTGTCCTATTGGGGTGAAGGCCAAGTTTTGTTTTGTTTTGATAGTTTTGTTACTGGGTCTGCCTGAGGCTATGACTGCACCTAGACAAGGACACTCTGAAGCCAATTCCAAGAGCCATCCATGTGCCTAGGCCCAAGGGGAACAAATGTGCTATCGCTGGACTTTTCACATACACAAATCTGACCATGTTATACGTGCCTTAAAACCAAGCAGTGGCTCCCCATTGCCCCTGGGATAAAATCATGTCCTTTTAGGTGCTTCAAGAGAGAAACTAGCTTATCTTTTCTGCTCTCATGTCTCATTCCAGCCCATCTCTCCATTCTACATCCCATCCTACTCAACCCTTGTGATTCCATAGTTTTGTGTCCTGCTCCCTCTCACCTTCCACCCTTTTACACATTGCCACATTTATGCCTGTTATCTTCTCCCAATCCCTCCCACTTACCCATCAAGATAACTGCTATTCATCCCTCAGTTCTCAAACTCTAAATCTTATTCCCTGACTACCCCCACGACGAGCACTTTCTACACCATATAAAAATTGCCAGTTTATTGATCTGTCACCCTTCCCATGCTCTCTGTACAGCACAACTCCAGGGGCACCATTTGCACAGTTATAAAAGGCAGAGATTGTACTTTGTTTACTACTGTATAACTAGTACCCAGCAGAGGGGCTTGCACACATTAGGTATGTAGCATCTTTTAACTAAGTTTTTTTGTTAATTTTTTTGGTTGTTTTTTCTTTGTTTTTATTTCAGAGAGAGCGAAAGCGCACCCAAGTGGGGAAAAGGGGGGCAGGGGAAGAGAGGAAGAACTCCACGCTCAGTACAGAGCCCAACTTGAGCCCAATATGAGACCAACGTGGGGCTCAATCCCATGACCCTGGGATCATGACCTGAGCTGAAATCAAGAGTCAGACGCTCAACCAACTAAGTCACCCAGGTGCCTATTGACTAAGTTTTTATACATCTGGCATTTATTTGAGGAAACTTGGAATGATTCATTAAAAAAAGGTATTTAAAAATACAGGAGAGAAAAAAGCTCCAAGGTTTCGAATATAAAAAAGGAAAAGGCTGAGTGCTGTGGATTGGCTTGTCAGAATGACAGTTTCTAGTAAGTAAAAAGATGATTTTTCTGAACTATTTCAAAGCAACCCAGTAGTTGATGAGAGAAAGTTTTTCTTTGAAAGAAGGATCACAGTTAATAAAAGCAGAAAGAAAAAGGGAATTAAGATATCACCATTTTGCAAGCCTTAAAAAAAAATAACTGATCTAGGCCATGATCAGTGATGTTTGCCAAAATTTTTATGTAACCCACTGGTCAATCATTAAGCTTAGTAAGAGGACAACTGAATATTATTGTCTCCTGTGAGCTGTTAACAGAAAGAAAGAGTACCACCTGTGGAATATTCTAGCCAAGGAGGAGGAAAAAAACCAAACATGAATCTAAGCTCTTAACTACCAGTTTTTAGAAAACCTGTGGATAGAGAAAGATTCAGCAACAAAAGGAGTCAATCAGCCAAAACCAGAATGCAGGAAATTCTATAGGACAAATAACCCAATTCCTTAAATAGCCATCCTGAAAAAAAAGGCAGGGGGGAGGAGGGGGAGACTATTAGAGATAAAGAGAATTAAGAGAATTATTAACCAAATGGAATGAATGGGGCTTGTTTAAATCCTAATTAAAAGACACTATGAGAAAAAAAGGAATATAGACTTATTATTTGAGGATATCAATAAATTGTTAATTTTGTTGGGTATGATAAAGATATTACAGCTATGATAAAAACTTATCTGTTAGAGGTATATACTGAAATATCTACAAATGAAATGGTATGTCTGTGATCTGCTTTTAAATACTCCAGCACAGAGGCACCTGGGTGGCTCAGTTAAGCGTCCAACTTTGGCTCAGGTCATGATCTCACAGCTGATGGGTTTGAGCCCCACGTTGGGCTCTGTGCTGACAGCTCAAACAGAGCCTGGATCCTGCTTTGGATTCTTTGTTTCCTTCTCTCTCTGCCCCTCCTCCACTCGTGCTCTGTATCTCAAAAATAAAGAAATAAATGTTTAAAAATTTTTTTAAATACTCAGCACAAACAGAACAGGAACAACAAAATGTAGGTAGGAAGAGATAAAATAAGAATAGTAGAAAGTTAACTGTTGAAGTTGGGTGATAGGTATGTGAGTATGATACTCACTATACTTTTTGAAAACTTCTATAATAAAAATTTAAAAACACATAAATGAAGAGGGGAAATAACAAAGGAAGTCTTCAAAGGGGAGACATGTTCCAAAGCAGTAGCAAGGAGAAAGTGAATTAGGAAAAACCAACGATACCAATAGCAAAAAAACCTTTCAATATAATACAAGCAGGACTCAGACAATGGGTCATGATGATGAATACAAGGAAAGGTCCCAGCAAAAGTATTAACATACATGTCCAAAGCCCTGTGATCCTGGGAATCCCCAGGAATCTTACAGAATAATCAAGAATATTCAATATAGGATGTAGTCATTTGAATACTGCAACAGCTGTGGCATCAGGTTAAAATCAAAGGACAGGGGAAAAGATGGGAAAGCACTGTAAGAGATACTGTAATACAAAAGCATCCAGGATACACAGGTTTTGGCAAAAGTTTATACATATCAAATGAGCTCATGATGAAGTCATCTACTCCCAAGACAAAAGACCAATAAAATATCCTAAGATTCTGGAAGCCTGACAAGTTTTAATTCTGTTTTCTGGGTTAGAGTCAAGACCATAGAGATGGGAATGCTTAGAATCAACCTAAACCTTTCTCTGCTTTAGATGATGGTTCTCATTCCACACGCAAGTGAACTTGCTGCTGTATGTCCAGTTGGTTCAGCCTGGTACCTCCCAGACATATGACCCTAACAAAATAAACAATGATTACTGTCAATAATTTTGTTGCTACTTTTTTTGCACAAGGACCACTTTGTCCCAAGATATTATTTTCCTTATAAAATAAAAGCAGCATCCTTATGTCATAGGCAGAGAACAGTAGGAGGAGATATCATTCAGTAAGGTATGTATATAAAAGAAATTAAAGCTGAGAGACCCAGCTGTGAGTGACCAATCTCCCAATCCAAGAGACTCTAACAATCAAGTTTCTTTCAAAGCTGGTCTCATGCTTAGTTTAAAGGAAGATCTTCTAGTCAAAGTTTCCAGGAAAGGGAAACTGGAGTAATTTTCAGATCTTCTAAACTAGGTCTCCAACCACTGTCCATATTAGTCTCTACAGAAACAAAGTAAAGGCAAGAGATAGATTTACCTCCTGTGGATTTACGGCAGTTAAGACAGAAACCTCATATGACTGCCTCCCTGACTGCATGGTCACCAAGTGATGTGTCACATCAGGCACTGAAGACAGGGGACGTGGGGATCCTTCAGCAAGCACCTCTGAAACAGCAGAAAATGTTTCAATGAAAACTGAATCCACAGTTATACCTACCTGCATTATCAAGCCTCTCATTAAGAACACTAAAAACTGTTCCCTGAAAAACTCATATTCCTTATTTCTTCCAAATTAATTCCTGTCTGATAATCATTACCAGTGAATTTAGAAAGTATTACAAAAGGGGGATGAGAAGGTAAGGCAAGAAATCCTATTGTAAGAGTTGATCATTTTGCAATATACCAATTTAGAGTAATATAGCTTTTGCATTGTTAACTATATAAAAGTAATATAGCTTTTGTGCATTGAAAACAGGGCAAAATCTGCTTAAAAGGCAAATCAGGGGACCAGAGCCAACCCTTAAAGCAGCCACCAGTGACAGAAACAGTGTAATATGAGCAAGTCAAGAACTTAGGTCTGGTTTCAAAGTTCCTGTACTCCGTGTCCCTTCCTCCCTTGAGACTTTCTTCCTTAAGCATGGCAAAGTAGTTCCATGCAATTTCTGTGTCTCACACTTTGGTTAACCACTAGTACCATTTGAGAAACCAAGGAGGCTTGCTGTGGAAGCACACTCTGGCCCATGTAGACTCCACACACAAGTTACACAAACATGGTCACTTATATACACAAAACTGAGTGGGATATGAGAAACTAAAACACACGATCTCGGACTTTATCAGTGAGATCGCCATAAAAATCTTCTGGAAACAGTTTATACATAAACTACTTAGCTCTCTAATAAATTAAAAGTTTCTTCTAGGGGGCTTTCAATATATACTGCTCTTCCAGGTTGTACCGTGCAACTTAACATTTGCTTATATGCTATCTTCTGTTCACTGTTGTCTCCCATATGTAAGTTTTGACTTCTCAGCTACATTTTAGAGTCCCTGCTTTCTACTTTTATCTTTCCCATGGTGCCAGGCACACAGTAGGCACTGAATAAATGCATGCTGACCTCACCTGTTAAGTTTTTCAGAGAAGAGGGCCTGGCCTGTGTAACTTGGGTGAAATTTCTATACCAGAGAGGAGCAACTGTTTCCTAGAGAGCCCTTTCTTTTCTCCAGAAGATATGGCTTTTGAAGATATGGAGAAATTGCTTTATATCTCCTCTGTAAAACCTGGTTATGTTCTGTTTAAATGTTTTAAAAGTTAAGTTCTTCCAAAACTGCAATAGGAAAGATAGAAATAGTTGGGCTAGGATGCTAGGATTACGGATAATTTTCTTCTTAAAATTTTTTCTTGTTATTCTTTTGTTACATCATCTGTTCAACAAAAAGAAATTTTTTTAAAACAGATTCACTTATCCATCCTAGAGACAAAGAATACAAATGCTACTCAATCATACCACAGCTACTCACAAGAAACGAAATTAATTAAAACCTCCATTTTGGAGACAACCCCATTCCTTAGTCCCTAGCTGCAGCCCATTTTCCCCAAATAAAGCAGAGTTGAAAGTCTTACCATCATCAACTCCTAGGATAGAATTGGTATTTGGTAGGTTCAAGGACTCTCCACCAAGGCTGGGCTGGGAATTCATAGGCACCAGGTTTTTACTGGTTACTGAAGCCTCTTCAAGCAAACTACTGCCCATTAGTGGCTCAGCTGCACAGAGAACAGGATGTGAGAGACATGCAGCGGTCACGGCTATGCCTGGTCCCATTTCCCTTCATGGGAAGCTGACATTTTCTTTCAAAAGTGGAATTAACCTGTATCTTGGATGCTATCTACTTTTGGGAAGCAAGAATAAACCTAGAAGGGAAGGGTGGAGCCTTGTAGATAAATATCCTTGCCTGTGATCAGCATGTGGAGAATTAAATATGTGAAATGGGATGGATGCATCCTTGGAAAGGAGTATTTGGAATGAAATAATTGATTAAAATAACACATGGAAAAAATAATAAAAATGAGTTACCAAATTTAAGTTAGGGTGAAAAGGGAGTCATGACTGATATATAAAAAATGCCTAAAACTTTGTCTTATAGAAATCTTTATCACAGTAATACTCAAATGCTGGTTCATGGATCAGCACTAGTTACCATCATACTCACTAGGGAAACTTAAAAACTACAGATTCTGGGATCTTATTTCCAAATAATCTCACTTATCAGGTTGAATTGTTTTGTTTTATTTGGGAATGAAGGGTAGACAAGCAATAAAACTATATACATTTTAAAAGCTTATAGATTTTATTGTACAGCTACATTGTAAATCTCTAGTCCATCCAGTGAGACCAGGTCTTACCCCCAACATAGAATCTGAAAATTTCCAAATAACCAGACAGGCCAGTTATTTGGCTTTTTGTACCCAGAAGATCTAGCCCTCCACTACACCCTCTCTTCTCACCAGTTTGCTCCTGCTCTTGACTCCCAGCTGCTCCTAGCTGCAAATGATGCTTTCTCATGTGCACATTCCTACTTCCACTCTGAGAGAAGGTCTTCCCACAGACTTGACACTGATGGGGCTTCTCTCCTGAAACAGAGACTAGGTTAAGACAGGGTAGCCAAAAAGACAGGGTACATTTCTGATAGCAAGAGAACAGACTCAATACATGGATAGAGAAGCCCAGAAAATGTTAAACTAAACATAAGAGGCTTTTCCTTCTCCCATTCTCCACCCCGCCTCAGAGGCCCCCAGCCTCCAAACTTTCAGTGTATCAGGGAAGGCAAGAAGAGTTGTTCACCAGGAGGGCTTGCCACACTCACTGCTCACAGCCCCTCTCCTTCCCATACCCACTGTACTGTTGCCTTCACAACCTCTGGTATGAGGTCACAGCAGCCATGTAGAATACTTCCTTCCCTTTCCAGATACAGTCTTCCATGAACCTCCAGAATATTTTCCATCCTCAAGGATCCCAACCCTGCATTCATAATAGCCCCTTATCCCACTTCCGGCCACCACTCTCCGTCTTTAATGTTTACAACATGGCTCTTCTGCACGGCGATCTGAACTACCCTCTGTGTCCTCGAGTCCAAAATTCTCAGTCTGCCTTTCACCTACTCAGACAACCACACTTAGAGCTGGGGTCAGAAACACGTGGATACAGGGGATGAGCCTGTGGCAAAAGTAGGTGAAATTGCCACAAAACTTCCAGAAATGGCAAATCTATAGGGACAGAAAGCTCACCAGCGTTTGCCTGGATCTGGGGGTGGAAGCAGGGACTGACAACCAGGGCACAAAAAGGAACTTTCTGGTGTGACAGAAGTGTTCTAAAACTGGATTGTGGTAATGACTGTATAATTCTATATACTTTCTAAAAATCACTGATTTGTATGCTTACAATGGATGAATGAATGTTAAGGTATAGGCATTATACATCAAAAAAGCAGCTGATGGGTACCTGGCTGGCTCAGTGGCGCGTGCAACTCTTGATCTCAGGATTGTGAGTTCAAGACCCATGATGGGTGTAGAAATTACTTAAAAATAAAGTCTTAAAAAAAGCTGTTAAAAAAGAACTAAAATGGATCGACATACAGTGACTAAACAGAAACCCATGAATTCAAACTAATACTAGTGAGAAAGAAAGGCAGTTATCTGACACTAGTAGAAGAAACAAGAGTACCAATTTCTTATTTTGAAAACTCACAATCAAAAGAAATTACAAGAAAAAGATGACACATTCATCCTCATTTCCTGTACAAATGACCACACAGCCTTAATGGAAGACAGAAGAGACCTTTTATACAAAGAATTCCAGCTGATGTGAACAGAATGATAGAATCGGAAACCTACTATTCTATAATCGTAATGAAATAACCAATTCAGGCATCATTCAGAGATGAAACCATAAAGCAAAAGGTTGCCAGGGAAATTTAAAGTGTGAACATCATGGTGTTACCACCTGAACCCATTGATGAATTCTGATAACCAAGCACTGTGTACCTCCTGATATGATAAAAAATGAAACACATACAACCATCTAGAACATATTCATGCTAAATCTTTGAACCTTTGAGGCTTTTAGGGCTTACTTCCTTTTATAGGAAATCTAGGGGAACACGTTAAATGACATGAAAAGGAAGCAAACCAACAAATCCAGAATATGGGACATTCTATAAAACCCAACTAACTCCAATAAGACTCCAATAAGTATATGGCATGAAAGGAAAAAAAGTAAGTACAGACAGATTTAAAGAAGACTTGCTCAGTACAATAATGAAACTTTGTTGGATCCTGATTTAAACCAACTTTAAAAGACATTTTTGAGAAAAGTGAAGAAAAACTAAACACGGACTGGGAATGAGATAACACTAAGAAAGGTATGATAATAGTATTATATTTACATAAGAAAACGTCTTTATTTACTCTTATGTATGTTTGACATAATTTTATAGAATAAAATTAAGTAAAATGAAAACACTCTATAAGCCAAGCAAAACATCTACATCTAAACCACAGGTTATCAGTTTGCCACCTCTGCTTAGAACTTTTCTTCAGATAAAAAACTGCTCCATCCCTACAGGCTCAGCTCTGAAATTCATGTCCCTGATTGATTATACCTCTTCAACTACCTCGCTCCCACTGACCTGCTTTGCTGTCCTCATCGTTTTGGCTTCCCTGTACTTCTCGTGGCTAGTGATTTGAATAATTACTTGATTCTGTTCTAGAACCTCTTTCTACTTTGAGTTCACTTCCTCCTTGGGAAGTCTCTGCTCTGAATGATCTCCATGGTCAATACCTGATGGAACTTATAAAGCACCCAGCACAGTGCGAAATAAATTTGCAAATAAATTTCTTCAGAAAAGTTCTGGATTAGAAATCAATTCAGTCAATGGCTAAGCTGAAAATAAGAATAATTAGATTCCCCCCTTGATTATACAACCCTTTGAATGCAATTATGAAGAGCCAGGATTTCTAATTCTGTCATGAGGAGGAGTAAACTTTATGTTGAACAGTTTGTTTCTGGATTTTTTTTTTTTTAAGTTTATTTATTGTGAGAGCCACCATGCACGTGTGTGTGTGGGAGCAGGGGAGGGACACGGAGAGAGAGGGAGAGAATTGCAAGCAGGTTCCACGTGGTCAGCCTGAAGCAGGGCTCAATCTCACAAACCATGAGACCATGACCTGAGCGGAAATCAAGAGTCAGAGCTTAACTAACTGAGCAACCCAGGCGCCCCTTTAGATTTCTTTATACCATACCCCTCCCATGCATTTACACTTTTGGTTCTCCACCTTCCCTGAAATCTATGAATGGCCAGAGTTCAAGTACCTGAGTGAACCACCAAATGTTTTCGGAGGCTAGAATACTCAGCAAAGGAACGGCCACATCCTTGGGCTTCACAAAGGAAAGGCTTCTCTCCTAGAGACAGAAAATGAGTTAAAGATTCAGTCTTCTGATAAACTATCTATCACTTTCTTTTCCCATTACTCTTATTGTGTTTCCAATGACATGATCTGATTTCTTGAATTCATGCTATATAATTTCAATTGGGTTATTGATCGTCTTCTCTCAATGATCTCCCAGCAGACAGCCCACCAGATAGCCCTGCCCTCTTCTTTAGAGTGGCTACCTCCGAGCATCATACTTCCTTCTCCCACCTGGCTTAAGGGCTGACCCCCAGCTACAATGACCTACCTTCTTCAGTAATCCCAACCCTTTTGAGGGTATCAAGATCAACACCATATATGCTGTCAGAATTTTTACCTTCTATCAATTCTCTTTATGATTCAGTTTCTAAATCCACTAAAAAGTGGATTTTTACAGGTTACAAAATAAGTATTGTATAGTCCTATTCTATAAAGCAAATAAAAACAGATGTTCAGTCAACGGTACAAAGAAAACCTGTAACAATATGCTAAAAGTAGTTACATCCTGACAGTGGTATTATGGATGATTTACTTTCTTCTTTGTGCCTTTATGTAAGTTTCATTGTCTACAGTATTACTTTGTTATTTTAAAAATCAAAGATGCCTGGTAAAAACTAATTAAGGTCTGTAGACTGAAAGTACTGTTAACTTTCTGGTTTTGATATTGTACTGTGGCTACATAAGATGTCATGTTTTGGGGAAGCTGGGTGAAGCACACAACAGAACTCTTTGTACTATTTTATCTTATTTAAAAAACTTTTTTTAATGTTTATTTATTTTTGAGAGAGAGACAGCTTGAGCGGGGGAGGAGCAGAGAGAGAGAAACACACACAGAATCTGAAGCAGGCTCCAGGCTCTGAGTTATCAGCACACAGCCTGGCATGGGTCTTGAACTGACGTACCGTGAGATCATGACCTGAGCTGAAGTCGGACGCTTAACCGACTGAGCCACCCAGGCACCCCTCTTTGTACTATTTTCACAACTACTCATGAGTCTATAATTATTTCAAAATAAAAAGTGAAAAAAAATCAGAGATGCAGTCCTATCTGAAAGTCACAGACTAGTGTGAGATAAATGTATTCATAAATAACTTTAACATAAATTCCTGTACAAAAAAGTACTTAAGTATTTAGAAAAGGGAGGAATTCTAATTGTGGTAATTTTTTTTTTTAAAGAAGCTGAGTTTAAATTTAAAAAAATAAATAAATAAAGAAGCTGAGTTTAAGCAGATCTTAAAAGATGACAAGGAAGAAAGGGAATTTCAAGCACAAAGAACAATGTGAGCACAGCCTTGAAACTAAGAGTGCCCAGGACAAGTTCAGAAAATAGTAAGTGGAAAATAATAAGAAATATTGGTCTCTGCCTCTGGATCCTGACACAGAACTCCGAAATCCCTTGGAATTTCCTAGGTGAGAGTAATATCTTTTATTCTAGTGAGTGACTCTTGGTGAGCTCCTAGATGGGGGCTGCTCACCAGAAAGACCAAGCCATGATTAGAAGCTTGAGACTTTCAGCCCCATCCCCCATTCTCCAGAGAGGGAGGAGGGGCTGGACATGGAAATTAATAATTGATAATGCCCACATGGAGAAGCCTCTATAAAAATCCCTGAAGTACAGGGTCCAGAAGCTTTATGGTTGGTGAACACAATTACACGCCAGGAGGGAGGCACACTCCAACTCCATGGGGGCAGAAATTCCTATGCTTCGGACCTTTCCAGATCTTGCCCTAAATATCTCTTTGTCTGGCTATTCTTCTGTATCTTACAGCATATCCTTTATTATACAATAAACTAGTAGATGTAAATAAGTGTTTCCCTGAGTTCTGTGAGCTGTTCTAACAAATAACTGAATCCAAAGGAGGATCATGGGAACGTCTGATTTGTAGCCAAGTGAGACCAAAGTTGTGAGCAACCTGAGAACCTACTACTTGCAACTGCCATCTGAAGGAGTATGTGCAAAATCTTGTGGGACTGAGCCCTTGATCTGTGGGGTCTGATGCTATCAACAGGCAGACAGTGTTAGAATTAAGTTAAATTGTAAGACACCCAACTGGTGTTGCAGAGAATTGTTTGGTGTGGGGAAATATCCTCACACATCTGGTGTCAGCAGTGTTGTCAGTGTGGCAGCAGTGTGAGAGTAAAGGAGAAACCCAGGAAGAGTGTGTTTCCCTACACAGCAAGTAAAGCTGACACGGTGACAACAGGGGATCTGGGCCTGGAAGGAGGGGACAGCACTGCTCTAGATCACATTGTTCTTTCAGACTGTCCCAGTTTAATGTTTGTGACCTTCCAGTGAATGGTCTGTAACTTTTCTGAAAGCACGTTTATGCCTTCACACCTACCCCAAAATGCTAGTCACTCAAAAAGTTGCCAAATAAATGAATAATATACGTTATTAAAGCCTTAGAACAAGAGTCACTAGAATCTAGTGGCATGAATCACTGCATCGAGCTGGTTTAGGTGAGATGGCTTTCATATTTGGAAACTGAGAGAATGGTGATTTTTGCTGAAAGGAAAGGACACAGAAGAGGATTGCTGCCCAATGATTAAGAGCACAAGTCCATTAACGTTGAGTTCAAATCTTGATACCACCACTTATCAGTATGGGGAAGTTAGCTCACCTCTCTGAGAAACAGCTTTTTATCTATAAAATTAACACAATACAATCTCAAAAGAGTATTTTGAGAACTGAGACACAAGTTAAATATCTTCAGCATAGTGTCTGGCACACAGTCAGCCCTCATGGTAAGCCACTGAAATTGGGAGCTTTAATTACTGTTGTTACTACTAATAAAGGTGGTTCAGTTTTGACATTTGAGATACTTTTTTTTTTTAGTTTTTTTTTTAATGTTTTTTATTTATTTCTAGGAGAGAGAGACAGCGTGAGCAGGGGAGGGTCAGAGAGAGAGGGAGTCACAGATTGAAACAGGCTCCAGGCTCTGATCTGGCAGTCAGCACAGAGCCCGGCGCGGGGCTCGAACCCACAAACCGCGAGATCATGACTTAAGCAAAAGTCGGACGCTTAACCGACTAAGCCACCCAGGCGCCCCTGACATTTGAGATACTTTGAGTTGTCAGCATTTGAAATCTAAATCCTCATAAGAGCTTTGAAGTCAGATCAGAATTCAAATCTCCACTCTGCCTTTCCTGGCTGTGTAATGTTGGGCAAGTTATTTAACTCTCTAATCTCCTGTTACTTCATCAATAAATACAGTATCTAATGTATAAAGTATCCTTGGGTATTAAATGGGATAATGTATATGTGCTTGACCCATACTAAGTTGTGTCAATAAACACCAACTTTTATTATTATATTAATTACGGTGACTCAGATCCATGAGGCATCCAGGAAGACATGATCACGGTGAGCCATGAGACTGCGATCAGAGAGCCCACTGAGTGAAATGGGAGAAACATGAAATTCTGAAAATGATGAACAATTAGGAGATTAGCAAGGGAGAGCTAGAAAGAGCTAGAATGGACAAAGAAAATATAGTCATTCCCCAAAGTAAAAAAAAGCATTTAAGATGTTCAGTTTTATCAAATCTACAAAGATGAGGAGCAGCACAAGGATGAAGGAGTTAATGAATTCAACAATAAGGTATGGTGAACTCTACTTCCCTTATCTATTTGGCTGGATGTTTTTCTTGTTCTTTTATTCAAACTGCTTCTTGGGGCAAGTATAGTTTATTCTCTCAAGAAAGAGCAGAGAACAGAGCTATTCTTCCCTAAAACATACCCAGTGGTAACGACACCCTAGCAGAAATCATAGGGACATACCTGGAACAAGTTTCACTTTTTAGTGCCCTTTAAGTGTACCTGCTGTTGTTTTAGCAACGCAAGAATAAAGATGAGACAAAGAAAGTGGCAAGAGTGGGGAAGAAAAGTTACACATCCTAAGAGATCAGTCTTGGTTCAGTGATTAAGCTCTGACAAGAGACTTAGCACATTTTAGGCCAATGGCTTGGAAAGTCACCCTTGAACTCTTGGAATGAGAGTCAGGGTATTTTCATTGTGCTCCTTTGGTATTAACATACCATTTGACCCAGATCAAGTCACTTTTCCATTCTGCTTCTCATGTTGTAAGGCTTTAACAAAGCAAACTCCTCAAAGCCAGGGATTAAAATTAGTTTTTGTATTTCCCCCCACCCTACCCCATTTGGTGGATAGAAGAGGCTCTGTATGGTCTGTATGATTCAATAAATATTACTGACCAAAATTATAACCAAGTAACACTTGAAGAAATTTAGCAATACTGATTTTGTCCATATCTCATCCTAGCACGGTTATCAGAGAAGGTCTTATATGCCTTCTAAGACTTTAGGCTCCGAAAGGCAGACATTAACACTGTCTATTTACACACAGGTAAAAAGTCAATAAATGTGACTGAATTAAATGAAAAGTGCCATGAAGCATGTGAAAAAAAATTCCACTTTTAGAGTTCTAGCAATAACCCTAGACCTTCATTTCCATTTCTACCTCAGAGCCTTTCCTAAGGGTGGGCAAGCAAACCCTAGGCCAAGTGGCAGACTGCCTGCAGGAATGTTGGGGTTGCACACACCTGTATGGATGCGCAAGTGGTTCTTCAGATTTCCAGCTGTAGTGAACTGTTTACCGCAGCTTGACTCGGGGCACATAAAGGGCTTCTCCCCATTATGAGTTCTCATGTGTACCTTCAGCCTCTGCAACACATAGAAGCTTTTCCCACAACCTTCTGCTGGACAGATGAAAGAGCGGTCATTTCTGCAAAAACAAAACAAAACAAAAACAAACCAACAAAATCAAATCATATAAGCAACAATACCTGAAAATGCTCTTTGTTAGAAAGGACAAGTCATAGCTCCTGTTGCCTCTCAAAGCAGACAGTAACTCCCAAACCTAGGTATATCAGAATCATCTGAAGTTTGCTAGAACTACAGATGCCCAGGCCTGCCTTCCTATTTTTTTTTTTTTCAAGTAATCTTACGCCCAATGTGCCACCTGAACTTACAACCCCAAGATCAAGAGCTGCATGCTCTACCCACTAAGCCAGCCAGGTGCCTATGCCTTACTTGTTGAATACTGATTTCACAGGTTTGAGAGTAGAGGCCACACTTACATATACTTTTTCTTAAGTTTCCCAAGAAATTATGTTTTATGTTTTGGCACATGTAGGTGCCAAATGTCTTACTAAATATTTGTAAAGAATGAGGTAAATGAGACAATTCTATTAAAGAACAAAAGACATCTTAATCACAAGTAAGCTGGAGCCTTTATTTTCCTTTCATCTATCAATTGAGGGACAAGCTCCTCCAGAAGCATCAACGTTCTTGAGCTCCAAGTATGGAACCTCAGATATGCTCACCGATGAGTTTTGAGATGGTACTTGAAGTGAGCTGGCCACACAAATGTCCGGTCACAGCCTTCAACTGTACATTTGAGTTTCTTTTCCACTTGAGGAAGGGGCCCAGAATCTTTGGGCTGCCCATCTCCAGAACCAAGGTGGACATTTTCCCCTGTAACAGAGTCACATATTTGTAATCTAGAGAAGGAACCTGCTGACGTACTTTGGTTCACACAATAAAGCTCCTATCTTTTACTCCTAATGATCAGCAAGTAGGCATCTATCTTCAGCTTCCCTAACTCTCTCTATATCCATTTAACAACAGAAGTGAGTGAGCAATTTGTTCCTATCCTCCTATCTCCTTAATCCAGAGAATTATCAAAAGCCATCATTCTTTGTTTCACAAGACTAGGCCTCTCTGGCAAATGTAAGAAATGTCTACATGGCTTCACATCAAAACAGGAGAGTTAAACGTATTTCGCATTACACAAATTGGCAGGGAAGCAGATTCAACACCCGGAGGTGGTTGCTAAAGACGACTTCAAGTTCTAGGTATTACAAAACTTGTATTTACTTTAGGAGGAGCAGCCATTCTGGCTTAGTTGTGAACTTAAGGTTGTGATTTCTTTTGTAAATGATCATTCTTAGAGTTCTATCTTCTGAGGTCAATTTGGCTAGAAAGCATTTTAAATTTTTTTAAATGTTTTATTTATTTCTGAGAGAGAGAGACACGCTGAGAGAGAGACAGCGTGAACAGGGGAGGATCAGAGAGAGAGGGAGATACAGAATCTGAAACAGGCTCCGGGCTCTGAGCTGGCTGTCAGCACAGAGCCCGATGTGGGGCTCAGACCCATGAACCGTGAGATCATGACCTAAGCCGAAGTCAGACGCTTAACTAACTGAGCCACCCAGGCGCCCCTGTTTCTAGCATTTTAGAGAATAAGAATAACCTTCCAATTTCCTATGCTACCTCTCTTCAGTTATAAAATCTTTACGAATGCAAAAACTCAGCTGATTTTAAAATTTCTAACCACATTTTAAAAAGCTAGAGATAACATCTACTGAAGTTTTTTGTTCAATAGAATAAAAGCAGAGGAGAAAAGGAGCACATAGTGCAGCACCTCCCTTAAATTTAAAGGAAATCAGTTAATTAAAACTTTATATAAACCCCAGATTCATGGGTGGTATTTCTTTTCTTTCATTTTCTTCAAGATATAGCTGGACATCAACAGAGAAAGTACTCACAACCACTTAATTATGCTGTAAGCATATGGAGTTTATTTTTCTACTATACATACCTCAGGAATAAGATTTATATTTCCAAATTTCCCTCTCAAAAGTCAAGAATAAGGATAATAAATATCGTACCCATCACATTTCCTGGAACCTGACAATTGATCAAAGTTTCCATCCCGTCTATTAATCTTATTTTCTTCCTGTCCAACATTCCCCTTGCTGTACATTTCAACTAAGATGCCTTTCACTAGTTAATATTAACTTTTTTTTAATATTGTCCCACATATTTTTTTAAATTTAATTGAAAAATACCTGCACATAGGTAAATTTTAAAATTTCTTACAACAGGAAATTTCCCACCAACTCCAGAGCTCCAGGTAATTAATGTATAATGAAAGGTCTGTGGAAATCCCATGCTAATATAAAAATGTAAACCAGTGACATTTGGGGCTTTGTGCATTCAATGTTGTAGATACAGTGAGAATACTGATATAATCATGAAATTTAAAAATTGCTCAAAAAATAGTGAGTTGCCTTGTATTTGAGTCTTTATAAAACTACTCCCTTAAAAACACTAAAGCATTGTTTGCAGAAGATGGATAAGCTTAAAAGGATGTCAGCCAATGATAATTCTGGATATTTATTTATTTATGTATTTTTTATATATCTGTTTATTTTAGTTTTGGATAGAAATCCTCTGATGAAGTGGTTCCCCCCACCAAAAAAGAGTAAGACAAAGAAACAGTAAGACCAAGAAATTTAACATTTCATACTAAGCATGTCAGATAACACTGTAAACACTTTAAATATCCCAGTTATGTGAGAAAGGCCTTTACATTTAGGATAACATTCCCAGTGACAGTATCATAGATAACATGGCTCAGTAAATTTTTTCTGTGAAGGACCAGAGAGTAAATATTTTCAGCTGTGAGGACAAGATGGTCTCTGTCACAACTACTTAATGTTGCTACTGTAGCAGCCATAGACAATTTGAATGCATGCTGCCTGTGTTCCAATAAAACTTTATTTACACTATGGTTGGTTATTTGGCCCTTTACTAACCCCTGATATACTGCATCATATACAAAATTTAAATATTGAAATTTAAAAATTGAAATATGTGTATTTCAGTCAACTTAGATGGAAGTGAAAATGTGCTCTAAAAACTGTTACAGGACCCTTAAAGTGGCTTTAGTAACAACAAAGATTTTTATGTTAAAAATCCATTTAAATACTGAATAAAATCATTTTATTATATGTAGTGAGTAAAAAGCAATATTAAATTAATATATTTCATGACTTAAAATGCATGTGTACACTGGGTGTTGTATGGAAACCAATCTGACAATAAATTATATTTTTAAAAAATTAAAAAATAAAATAAAATAAAACGCATCCATGTGTATGGGCACCTGGGTGGCTCAGTCAGTTAAGCGTCAGACTCTTAGTTTTGGGTCAGATCATGATCTCATGGTTTCGTGAGTTTGAGCCCCATGTAAGGTGGGCTCTGTACCAACAGCACAGAATTTGCTTGGGATCCTCTCTCTCCCTCTCTCTGTCCCTCCCCCACTCACTCTGCCACTGTCTCTCAAAATAAATTTTAAAAAATGTTAAATGCAAGTATAATCAAAATAATAAAAATTTCAGGTTGGAGTTAAGATGGCAGAGAAGTAGGGGGACCCGAATTTCCCTCATCCCTCAAACACAGCTGTACTTAGGTCAGAATACTTAAAACACTCAGGAATATAGACTGCAGAATCACAGAAAAATCTCCACAGGTGAATGGAGACAGCTTGGCAGGACAGAGGTGTGTGTTTGTGAATTGAGAAAGATAAAATGGTGGGCAGCATAGGCATGGAAGGGAGGAGACCCCTTCTGTTGAGAGAGAAAAGGAAGAGAAAGAGGTAAAGGAAGCATGATATTCTGTTTGGACAAACGAAAAACCTCTCCAGATCATGTGGGGAACAAGAAATAAAGAAGTTTCTACTTTGCAAACAGCCTTAGGAATGAAGATCAGAGTTTTCAGGGGTTCACGACTTTCCCGGCTCTGCACCAGAGCTGTCCCCATGTGTTCATGTCTTGGGGGGAAGGGCAGCCAGCCCTGGGGTGTGGTAATGATCTCAAGGAATGCACTGGGAGAGAATAGTCCCTTCCCTCGAGTACTGTGAGAAGAGGGTGTATTAACCCCCCACCAAAGACAAAAGATTCTGCAGGCACCTGCCAGCCAGAGGCCGTGAGTCGGCTAGGCAGAGTGGCGCTACCCCAGAACTAGTCTGCATGGAGCAGGACCCTTTAAGACACCGGGTTTTGATCCCAGCTGAGAGAATAGGAGGCCTGGGAGACTGTGGAGAAGGACAAGTCGCCCACTGTGCTATTCTGTGAGGGCTGCCTGAACGCTGTGGTTTGAGACACCTGGTTTGGGGAGAATAAACTGGGGTGTTGCCATTTTTCTCCCCATCACCAACACAGTGGGGCCTCAGGGAACAGGACAGCAGCCCACAGTGGAGGCAACCAACTTACACCAAACCCACCCCTCTGTGCCTGGCAAATGCTTATCTACCAGAGTGGGACTGACACTGACCAAACCAGACTGACCCTAACTGAACCAGACGGCCTCTCCAGCAGACCAGCACGGCCGCCCGTCCCAGGCCCCAACAGAAAACTGGCTTGCAGTTTTGTATGTCAGTCTGTTGTTGCTGTTGTTTTCTCTTTTCTTTCCTTCCCTTTTCCCTTCTCTTTCTTTCTATCCTCCTCTTTTTTCCCCCTTCCCCCTTTGAAATCAGGCTCATAGTTTCTGATTTGATTTTTGGTTGATCTTAGTGTGTGTGTGTGTATGTGTGCAAAAAATTTTTTTTTCTTTCTTTTTTTCTTTCTCTGTTCTGGTTGTTTGTTTAATCAGGCATTTTAACTCTAATCTTTTTATACCTTTTCTGTATCTCCTTCTTCATTTTCCTCTCTCTTTCTCTCTCTCTCTCTCTCTCTCTGGATTAAGCCTTATAGTTTCTTTGATTCTCTGCCTGTTTTGTTTTTTTTTTCACCTTTTCGATTCCTCTCTTTGTATGGAATAAGGCTCCCCACCCCTCTGCTTTCCTTTTTTCCATGGTTACTTCAAATACATCAAAGCACACCTGGTAGAATGTCCAAACAATGCACCACTATGAGCAGTAGGAGAGAACAGCCAAATACTCAACAACAGAGTGCATGCAACACACTCCAGAAATAGTTCCTGAAGTGCCAGTCCCTGGACAGTATATGTCCCCTTTTTAATATAATACTCGCAGGTGCAGGACACATAACAAGCTATTAAAACACATAAAAGACAGGACCTAGCCAAAATGATGAAATGGAAGAATTCTCCTCAAAAGAAATTCCAGGAAGAAATGACAGCCAGAGAATTGCTCAAAACAGATATAAACAATATATCTGAACAAGAATTTAGAATAACAATCATAAGACTAATAGCTGGGCTTGAAAAGAGCATAGAAGACTGTAGAGAATCTACTGCTGCAGAGAGCAAAGACCTAAGAAATAGTTAACAATGAATTAAGAAATGCTGTAAATGAGATACAAAATAAACTAGATGCAGTGACAGCAAGGATGGAAGAAGCAGAGAAGAGAATAGGTGAAATGGAAGATAAACTTATGGAAAATGATGACGCTGAAAAATAAGAGGGATAGGAAACTACTAGAGCACAAGGGGAGAATTAGACACCTAAGTGATTCAATGAAAGGAAATAATATCCATTATCATAGCAGTTCCAGAAGAAGAACAACATAAAGAGAAAGGGTCGGAAGGTTTATTTGAACAAATTATAGCTGAGAACTACCTAAATCTGGGGAAGGAAACAGACATCCAAGTCCGCACAGAGAACTCCCTTCAAAATCAACAAAAACAGGTCAACATCATATCAACATATAGCGAAACTGGCAAAATAC